TGGAGAGGGCCAGAGACCCCCAGGACACTCCAGTCTGAAAGAAACCAGAAACATGACAAGAGATAAAAATAAAGAAAAATCTCCAGCTGCTGAACCTGGGAAAATAAGCCCAGGAGAAGTAAATACAGAAGAGAACCAGCACAGTAACCATCCAATACTAGTCACAGCATCAGCAGATATTAAAAAATATCTTCATGACCTCATAGACGAAGTTAAAACTGTACTTCTGATCCAAGTGAGGCAAGAAATAAAGAGATTAATGAAAGAAATGATAGGCCCCTCCCAAGAGAACAGATGAAAGAATGGAGGAAATCAGAAAAGAAAGAGAAATCTCTGATGAAGAATTTAAACATAACCTAGAATACATGAAACAGATCCAAAGAGATTACCAGGAAACTAAAAACTCCATTGAAAACTGGCAAAATTCCTTGACAGAAACTAAAGTTAGCCTTTTGAAACTTGAAGATAGATTTATGATATATGGTCATGAAAGAAAAGACCTCTTAAAAATAACAAGGAACTAGAAAGAAACAATTCAAAGGCTAGCAGATGACAAAAGGCTACATAACTTCAGAATAAAGCATGTGAGTGAGGAAGCAGGAGTAATCAAAAATGAACTACAAAGAATATTCACAGATATATTAAAGGAAAATTTCCCAAGCATAGGAAAAAGAAATGATACCCAGATAAATGAGGCACACAGAACTCCAGTCACCTACAACCAAGACAGATCTACACCCAGACATATAATAATCCAGATTCCAGAAATCCACCAAAAGAACAGAATACTAAAAGCAGCCAGGGAAAAGAAGCAGATAACCTACAATGGGAAAATTATCAAATAACAACAGACTTATCAACACAAACTCTCAAATTGAGAAGAGCCGGGGGAGAAATTATCCAAGCCCTGAAAGAAAATAATTTTCAACCAAGACTCATATACCCAGAAAAACTCTCTCTCAAAATTAATGGAGAAATAAGATGTTTAGTTCATGACCACCAACCCAACCCTACAGAGAGTGCTGAAGGACATTCCAGAGAGAGAGAGAGAGAGACAGAGAGAGAGAGAGAGAGAGAGAGAGAGAGAGAGAGAGAGAGAAAGGGATACCAGGATCCAGGATCCCAGCAACAGTGGCAGAGAGGCCTCAATGAACGGGGCAGACAGTGGAATGAGGGAGTAAGGTGGACAAATTATAGTAGTAAAGTGAAGTAGCATACAGGAGGCAGAGACAATAAACTATAATCTTTAATACAGATAGCCTTGATACACTAAAATAAAAAAAAAGCAGGCAGAGTAGATTAGGAGACAGGCTCCACTGAGATGCTCTGAATGGAAAATACACTCAACCTGAAGGAAGGTTAATAAACTGAAAGTCAAAGATGAGAAAGCAAAGCTATATGCGACAGGAAACCAGAGAGAAATAGGGACAACTCATCCAGCAGCCGCAGATAGACTGGAAAGCTATGACACTTTTGGGCAGTGTAGAACTATACAGCTGGAAGAAAGGAAAACCCTATGACTTTAGTGAGTAAAGGAGTACAGCTCAAGATCAAGCTCAGGGGTAGAAAGTTTCAGCAACACTCAGATAGACAATGGGCTGGCAAATGCGAGGTCGTGAGTTCAATTCCTGGCACCAAAAAAAAATAATAATAAAAATATCCTACATGCTTAACTCCCATGCAGTTATATCCTTTTAGAGCACTTTTTCTTCCTCTCTTTTTTTTACAATAGCAATTACACATTTTGGGTTTTATTACTCTTCCATTTCTTATTACTTTTTATACTAGTGACACAATGTGATATTTATAAATATGATTCTTATTTATTTCACTAATGAGGATAGTGCCAAGTTGTCTCCATTTACCTATGAAGGCCTCAAGATCATCCTTTTTATAGCTGAGTAATATTCCATTCTATAAAAATGCCACATTTTTTTTCATCTACACTGCAGTTGATGGGCATTTTGGTTGTTTCCAAGATTTAGTTACTACAAATTGTGCTGCTATGAACATGGGTGCACGTATGTCACTGTGATATGACTTTTTCAGTTTTTCTGGGAAAATACCTACACAGGGAATAGCTGGATTGAATGGAACTTCCAATCCTAGTCTTCTGTAAGTAACTTGAACAACTACTAAGAGGACAATATGTAATTTATGAACTAGTGATTTCTTACTGTATATTTTTTTGAAATTATGTATTTTTCTATCTTTTTTCTATTTTTTTTGTCTTTATAGAAAAATTTTAAAAAGTCTCCAGGAACTTCAATTTTCTAACTTTCTTTGATGTGATTCTCTTTTCTATGCCTCTTTTTTTGTGTTGTTTCTAGCTTTACTTATCTCTATGTGAGTAATTTCCAGATTTATTTCTCAGATAAAAATTTTTGAAAAGTCGAGATTTACACTTCCACTTGATGTCAGAGTATTTTAAACCATCTGCTCACTCACTCTTTCATTCATTCTTTTGTGACCCTAGCAGTAGGTTGGTACTAGTATGGAAATAGTTGTGAACAAAACAGTCTACCCCCATAAATCTTACATTCTAGGTAGAGAAGAAAGCATACGTAAATCAGAAATACATCAAATTGAGGCAAATATGAATGAAGTATAGCGAAAAATATATTTTTTCTTTATTTTTCATTCATTCTTTCTCTCTCTTTCCATCCCTCTGTCATCATAAAGTTAACACAAATGGCCTCAATACTGAGAGATGATGATGTCTCCTGTGTGATATACTCACAGAGTATATCCAATCAAAGCTATCAGGGAGCCAAAGAGGCCTTTCTGAATCATAAAGGATCTTTCCCTTGCTTTTTCCTCCAAATTAGAGAATAAGATGTGACTTATACCCAAAAAGGAACACTTTGGTCACTGTGGAAAGTTATTGAAAGTACTCAGGTATAAAAACAATTAGACCTGTTGAGTATGATATAAAATATAATAATGCAGGAAATGTTAAGAGCTTATTACCATAATGGTGATGACGAAGGCTGTAAAAAGATTTCAAATATTTTTTTTTTTGTTTTTAAGACAAAGTTTCACTATGTAGTTTAGGCTGGACTTGAACGCACTATGTAGCACAGGCTGACCTCAACCTCACAGCAATCCTCCTGCTTCAGCCTCCCATGTGCTGGGATTATAGGTGTGTGCCACCACAGCCTGGCTTCAAAATTTATCTTTAAGGAAGTCTTGAAAAAATGTTTATGGACTGGACTACCATATGAAAGAGAGAGGTGAAGAATATGCAGGTAATAGAAATTGCTAGAATAGTGTTATATTTTATGAAGCACAAGCATGAGATGAACAAGTTTGGGGAGTGAGGACTAAACAGTGTAGTTTTACACAGGTTAAAAATGAGATGCCTATTAAAATATCTTAAGAAAAATATCAAGTATTTCAGTATATAAGTGCATATCTCAAAGGTGAAATTAAATACACAAACATTTGATTTATCATGAAATAAAAGTCACTAGGCTGGATGACATCTTTAGAAAACAAGTACAGGTAAAGATGAGAACCACAGGTAAATGAGTAAAGGCCAGAAATGACGGGAATGGAAGGGTTCCTGAGATATACAACAGCAAATGCCTCAAGAGACAACTTGACATCACTCCCAGCTGGTTGAGTATGTGTACTATACACAGCTGAGTTAGGTAGAAATATTATGGTCAGTCAGATAGGGGGAGACCCTCAGATTCACTGTAGAAGATAATATAACAACTGTGGCTAGATACACATCTGTCAAAGGCCTCAAGAAGGAATTAACAGCCCTACATGTCTCCCCAAGGGCTAGCAATAAATTAAACGATTATAATGATATTACCTGGGCCAAAGAAGTCTTGATAGACATCAGTCACCCAGGTGAGCGACCAGACTTCCTGATCCATCCCTTCCTAAAATGATCTTTGTTCTTTCCCTGTTTCCTGATTGGATCAATATCACCTAAGCAGCTATACTTTTGGATGAATACAGTTTTGACCTCTGTTGTACTTACCTCATGACTTTGCTTTATAAAACTTACTTTGAAAAGTGGGCTCATTGGTAACACACTTTCAGAAACCCTCCTGTCTCTTAATAGCTACCTCAATAAATTTTCTTACTCTTAACTCCCACCATCCCTTAAAAATTATTCATTTTGGAGAGCCCGAACTTGATGTATCTGGCATCTAACAGGTTGAGAGTTATATTACTTCCCCTATATCATGAGGAAGACTGAGAAATTAACTTATCAACACAATATCTATAGATGACAGGAAAAGAAAATAGAACCTTATTTGGAAGAGATAAAGTGAGAGCAAAATAAAAAGTGGAGATAGGAAAAAGAAACATCCTTTTCAAGTTTTATTGTGAAAGAGATAAGTAGAGGGTGTCAGCTTGATATTTGCTGTTTAAATAATGTGACTCAAAATTCAGTGCTAAGATGAGGAGAAATAACATTATGTTTGCATTCTCCTGGAAGCCCATAATAAACAGGACAAAACTGATGCAAGAGAAATATTATGCCCTTGGATCCTACTTGGCCTGTGTCACAAAGGACCCTTGGCAACCACAGATATATCAGATGATTCTAAGTGGTCAGATTAAAACACTTCTTCACCGTCAGCACAGCCACCTTCTGCTGGACACCCCGGGGCACTGCTTTTGCCTATTATTAGGCCCACACTTCTCTGCTGGACATCGTGCTCTCAGCCCATCTTTCAAAAACCAAGTCCCCTAGTCTAATCCAGGGTCTGCTCACTAAATATTCTTCCCCTCATCTGAGCTCTGCCCTCCTTAAGGAAAACACTGTCCAACAGGATGCTTCCTTTATTCTAAGTCCTAGTTTGACATGTTTTCCCCCCTCCATTCTACTGATAGAAAAGTATTTTATTTATGTGTTTTACTGTTTTGGGCATGTTAGAAGGGAGAATGTATTTTACTCTTTTAAGTATGTTAAAGAAACAGAGCCAGTGTTTGTACTCTTGGGAATGCTAACAAGGACTAACCCAATACCAAGTAAATATAGTCTGAAACCAAACAGGCTTGCTTTATTGCCTTCTTTTTTTAAACACAAAAACTGTGACTGCATGTGTTTGCTAAGTCCTCAAGGCCAGCACTGATACCCAGTAAAACAACCCAAATTTGTTTGTGATGTGTTTAAAAAAATAGATCATTTCTAGACTCAGCTATTTCTTTGGACTCACTGGGAAAAGTAAAGGTTGTCATAGAATTTTGGGACATCTTATTTGGGATATCTTATTTGTCTGATAGTAGCCTTTGTTTTATGGTTACTTATGCATGCTCTGTTACTTTACCATCCTGGAGATAGCAGGCACAGGTTGAACTAAAAACTCATGGATTTTAGTGTGTGTTCACAGTTAGGAATAATATTTGGTAACCGGTAGTATTCGGTAATATCTGAGTACCTTTTTTACATTACTGTTGTATCCCGAGCTATCTTTCAGCCTGGGAAAAGATAAGTAGCTGGAAAGTCATTGTTAACATGGGCTCAGTGTGGTTTCTCTAAATACTACTTTATTCGACGACAACTATAACAGGAAAAGAATGTGGAGAGGGAGATGAATCTTAAGGGCAAGAAGTTGGAGATACCTGACTCCGGGTCTTGACACCACTGAGCTGTGGGGAAGGCAATCTGTGGCTTAGTTCTGCTTATTTACATTTCCAAGAGTATGTTTGTCAAAAAGATACTCTGCTAGGCCTGAATCCGGCGACCCCATGGCGACTAAATTGTGCACATAATCACCCAGTTCTTTGATAGACTTCACCTGCTCATTTAGGAAATGGGTTTCCAGAAAGTCGCACAAGTGGGGGTCCTTTCTGTCGGAGGCCAGGGTGTGTAAGTCCAGCAGCGACTGGTTCACGCGCTTCTCCAGGGCGAGCGCGCACTGCAGGGCCAGGAGGCCGCTGCCCCAGTCGTCGCGCTCGGGCTTGCGCACGTCCTGCAGGCGCACGCGGCCACCGCGTTGGTTCTGCAGCCGCGCCAGGGTCTCGGCGTGCGCGCGCTCCTCCAGGGACTGGCGCCGGAAGTAGCCGGCGAAGTTGTGCAGCGCCACGTCGTGCCGGGAGAAGTAACAGGCCATGGACAGGTACACGTGTGACGCGTGCAGCTCCAGGTTGATCTGCTGGTTGATGGCGGCCTCGGAGTCGGGGTGGAAGTTCTGGCGGACTCCGGGCGGCCCGGCGGTGGCGTCTCCCGAGGAGGCCGCGCTGGCCAGCGGGCGTCGGGGCGCGGCCGCGCGAGGGCCCGCCAGGCGGCGGAGCGTGGGGCCGCGCGCCACGGTGAAGGCTAAGGCCAGGGCGGGGCCTAGGGCGCAGCCGCCGGGCAGCATGGTGCCGTCCCGCGCGGGAACGACCGCGGCTCCGCGGGGAACCGAGATGGTTCGGAATCAGAATGCGGCCTACGCGACACGCCGGCGTCACACGGCCGAGGCTCCGCGGCGGCCCAGGCCGAGGACTCGCGCTGCGCTCCGCGCCCCGCCTTCTGATTGGACCCAGAGCGCTGCTCGGGCGCGCGCTGGCGGGCGGGAGGCGGCAGCAAGTGCTCCTCCTGGTGGAGAAGACTGCGGCTTGCTGCAGGGGAGCCGGGAAGGAGAGCCTCGAAAATCCTTCTGTCAGGAGGCAGCTCCAGAGTCGCTTCTCAGACTGGGCTTCCTGGTTATTTTAAGTCATGAACATTTCACTGCTTACATATGTGAGTAATGAAGTAGTTGCCAGTATAATAGACAACGTTTCAAGTGTCTATAAACAAGACGGTGTTTTCTTAAAAGACACATTTTAATATGGAGAATTTATTGTCCTTGTAAAGAAACTCGATATTGTAGGAAAGTAGAAATGAATAGAAAAAGGCTGTAAACTTGATTTGATTTTCCTTAATGCAATACATATTTTTTAAAGAACTGTTTAAAAATTCTAAAGAACGATTTAGTCTTAGAAGAATATTTAAAACTGTTGCAGGAAATTTTTGATTTTTCTTAATGAAGATAAGTTCTCAGGTGAAAAAAACATCGTATTTCTCTGCTCAGCTGTAACGATTGTTGAAATAGATGATAATTCTTGTAGATAAAAAGATAATGAATATATATATATATATATATATATATATGAGACACATTTTAACAATTTTGAAGGGGCATACCTGTCATAAACTGTAGATAATCACCACAGTTAGATGTGATGTGACATTTGCTCACGCTGTGTAACCATCACCTAAATTAGGATAACATACTCATCATAACATGAAGTTTTTTCATGCCCATTTTTCATTTGCATCATCTCTGCTCTTTTTTGTTTTTATTTTTTACTTTTAGTGCATGTTTACAAAATGATTATACTTACCATAGGGAGTTGGTACATGTACATACCAGTTCAATTTTTTCTCCTTTCCACCCCTTTTATTTTTCTAGCATTAGATCCATTTATTTATAAGGCTTTATAAACTTAATTATAATATGTACAGATTAAAAACCAGACTAATAGGCTCAAGAGCATATACAGCATGCAAGATATTTATTCTAAATCAAGGTGCATTTTTAGATACATTACCTGTGCTGGATTACAGTACATTCCCCCCACCCTCTTTTTTCCATTCCCTTTTGTACTTCAGAATCCCTTTCTTTCTCCCTCCTCCTGCACCCATCCTATCCCAGACATCTGTTCGCTTCCTAACGCTATAGATTTCTAGAATTCCTTCTGAATGAATGAATGCCTTAGTTACTTTGCTCTTGTTGCTGAGACAAAACACTTGATGCCTAAAATTAAGGAAAAGTTTGTTGATTCCAATTGGCTTAGGTTTTGTTCATGAAGTCTCTGCCTACTTCTAGATTCTACCTATTTTTCAAGATTTCTACCTATTTTCTCATCCAGTAGATTTAGTATTAAATATTTAGATTTTTGATGCATTTTGCATTTAGTGTGAAAAGCCAGTTTTTCTAACACCAGATCATTTATTAGAGAGACTGTCTTTATTCCAATGAAGATGTTTGGTTCCTTTATCAAAATAAGGTGGTTGATTGTGTTTGTAGTTGTGTCTGCTCTACTAATCTGTTCCATTGGTCCCAAGGTCTGTTTTTTTGCCAGTACCATGCTGATTTTATCACAGTAGTTTTGTAGTAAAATTTCAAGTTAGGGATGTCCCGGCTTGACTTTGTTGCCGAAGATTACCTTTGCTTTTCTAGGTCTCCTCTATTTCCAAATGAATTTTAGGAATGTTTTCTCTAGTTCCTTTTTTTTTTTTTTTTTTGTCTATTTCCTTTTTATCGGTACCAGGGATCGAACTTACGACCGCCTGCTTGCAAGGCAGGTGCTTATGCCGCTGAGCTAAATCTCCAGCCCCTTATTTTCTCTAGTTCCGTGAGGTTTGCTTATGGTACACTGATTGGGATTGCATTAAATCTGTGTAACAGTTTTTGTGATTATGGCCTTTTTCACAATGTTGGTTCTTCCTATCCAGGAGCAAGGGATAGTGTTCCATTTCCCGATAGCATTTTTACTCCTTTTTCAGGGTGTTGTAATTTTCAATATATACATCTACTTTTTTTTATTAGATTGATTTGTAAGTATTTCATTTTTTTGAATGCTATTGTAAAAGGTGTGAATTCCCTAATTTCTCTGAGTTTGTTGCTTGTATAGAGGAAGGCTACTGAGTTTTGAATGTTCACTTTGTATTCAGCTACACTGCTGAATTTGGTTATTAAATCTAGAAGCCTATTGGTGGAATTTTTGGGATCCTCTATGTAGAATGTGATGTCATCTGCAAATAATGATAATTCTTCCTTTCCTAACCTTATTCCCTTTTTTTTTCTGTCTCGTCTGATTGCACGGGCTCATGTTTTTAATACTGTACTGAATAGGAGTGTTGATAGTGGACATTTTTCTGTTGTTTATTTTAGAGTAGTAGCTTTCAGTTTTTGACCATATGATGGTAGCTGTTGGTTTGTCTTAGATGGCTTTTATAAGATAGAGGTAAAGACCATCTGTTCCAATTTTCTGTAGGGTTTTTATTGCGAATGGGTATTGAACTTTGTCAGATGCTTTTTCTGCATCTGTTGAGATGATCACATGATTTTTGTCTTTGTCTCTGTTAATATTGTTCATCATATTTATTGATTTGGGTATGTTGAACCTGCATTTCTGAGATGAATCCTAGTCGCTTATGGTATGTAATCTTCTTGATGGTTTGCTGCATTCTGTTTGCCAGTATCTTACTAAGGATTTTTGCATCTGTATTCATTAGGAAGGTTAGTCTGTATTTTTCTTTTTTGATTGAGCCCTTCTTTTTAGGTATCAGAGTAATGCTTGCTTCCAGAAATGATTTTGGAATATTGCTTCCCTTTCAGTTTCATAAAAAAGTTTCACCATTAGCAGCATTAGGTCTTTGCAAGTCTACCTAGCCTGACTCATAGCCCCTAGCCTGCTTGCCAGCAGAAGCACACTCTGCAAATACAGGAAAGAAGATGATAGGAGGAGGAAGTTCAAAGGCCTTGGGAACACCTAGAGACACCCAAAAATTTACTGAAGACACTTGAATGGACTCTTTCCACTGAGGTGCAAGATTGCTGGAAAACTAACCACAGATGTTCATTGGGATCTTCCCACCTAATGCCTAATGTCTCCTGCCTTCTATTTTTGTTCAGGGCTGATCTTATCACACACTCTGCCTGAACCCAGGCAGGCACAATAAATTCCATGCCGTGTTGCTTTTACACAATCCTAGTGGTCTCTGTTGCTTACATATGTTACAGTTTTCTCTAAATTTCTTGTAGAATTCAGCAGGGAATCTATCAGGGCCTGAACTTTTCTTTGTTGGTAGGTTTTTAATTGCATTGACCAATACAGTTACTTAGAATATTTATATCTTCTTGATTCAGTTTTGGGAATTTGTAAGTGTCCAAGAATCTGCCCATTTTTTTCTGTGTTTTCCACTGTATTACAGTACAGGTTCTTGAAGTAGGTATTGATAGTTTAGATTTCCATAGAATCTGTTGTAATTTTGTCCTTTTCATTACTAATTGATCAAGCTACCTTCCTTTTTTTGATAAGGTTGTCTACAAGTTTATCAATTTTATTTAATTTTTCAAAGAACCCACTCTTTGGTCATCAGCTACTCTTTAGAAGACTACCACACAGAATAAATGAAAAACTAAAAAATAGTTAGACATCCAGAAAACAAAAAAGACCAAATCAAGAAATGGGTGAAAGTGAACAAATGACCAATAACTTCATGAAAAAAATGTTCGTGACCTCATTCATTAGGGAAATGCAAATTATAACTACTGAGAATCCATTTTATTTCAGTCAGAATGCTTATCACCAAAAACTCAGAAGCAACAGATGCTACTTATTTCTAGAAATAAATCACCTATAAAATATTACCTGAGGAAGTGATACTTTAGGACTTGTTCATAATAAAGCTCAGAGTTTGGACTTGTAGAGCCCTTGGAGACACTGCTGGTCAGGATTCATAGAGGATTTTATTCAGGGTGACAAATGCAATGCTGATATTCAATGTCAGCATTACGCCTATATTGTCCAGCAATTTCAGCTAGTACATGAATACTGTCATAGATAATGATTGGAGAAATAAAGGTCGTGCAATTGTTGGAAAATAGAAATTTATTAATACTTTCTATAGGATAAACCATGAATCTTTTTGTTTTAGATCAAATGTAAGAAAGAAGCATAGTTTAGACAATTCTGAACCAATTGCTACACTCCAATTTACAGTAATAGGAATAGTACAAATACAACAGTAAAGTGTTATAAATAGGTTTTGCAATGTCTCCAAAAAGTGTATCTCTCTCCAGTTGTTAATTTGAAGATGTAACAAACAGCTGTATTTGAAAGTTTTTCCTACCGTCATTGTATTATATATTTGCATTCATTTTTATCCAATCTGAGACACATGCAAAGACTGTTTTCAAATGCTTAGAGTATCTTTATCTGAATAAAATGAACGGAAATATAACAAAACTCAAAAGAAAAAATTCTTCTACTCTTAAGGCTGGAATAGCATAGCAGTTAAATTTTAATACTGAAAATATTAATAGCAAAACAATAACACAGAAACTTAGATTACAAGACTATTCCATGAGAGCAAAAACTTTTCTGCTACCCAGAAGACTTCTGGAAGGTACAAAAATGTCCTGGGTACAACAGACATTCACCTAATTTTTAAGGTTTTTCTCCTTGTTTTGAAGCCTATCCTTGGATATGGTGACATTTAAAATGATTAAGCTGGGTGGAGTGGTACAAGCCTGTAATCCCAGCACTTGGGAGTCTGAAGCAGGAGGATTGGTTCGAGTTCCAGGGCAGTTTCAGGTACACACTGATTGGGGGGGGGTGTTGGGGGAGTACCAGAAATCAACCTCAGGATCTCACGCTTGCCAGGCAGGCACTGTACTAATGAGCTATATCCCTGACCCTAATTATTGATTTCAAGGCTGGCTTGAACTCCATAGCAAGAACCTGTTTCAGGGTCTTGCAAATAAATGAAAAAATTGACTGATTATCTCATTGTCTAAGAGAAATGATATATGCAAATAAGGACTCCAGCCTTGAGTGATTATTAACCAAAGTAAACAATTTAAAATACAACAGACAAT